CCCCAAAACCCCAAAACCCCAAAACCCCAAAACCCCTTTTGTCTAAAATTGTGCTGAATCGTGTGGCAATTATTTACGACTGTAAAACTCAGTAAAGCAGTCATAACCTAGCTTGAGGAGATCATTCTCGCCTATCTCAACAATACCAACCTGCTCACTAGCATTTGTTTCATTAAGTGTTCCGGTAATTCCCTTGAATTTACCTTTAAGGATCATAACCTTTGGCTTTTCCCCTTCTTGAGGAACTATTGGAGCAACAGGCTCCAGATTAACTTGGTCTATCCTGATCTTGGTTCCCTCAGCAGGCCCTGTAATCATCTTCACATTAGCTATATAGCTAAATTCTTGAGAATTTATTGTTTTGGGTTCCACAACTTTATAAACTTTGCCTTTTTGTTTGTAAAATTTACCCCCTCCTAGTTCTTTCTGCATCACTTTGACCACAACACCTTTACAGAGCCAAGGGAATTCCTTCTTCCCATCCTTTGAAGAGGACGGCAACTCTGGAGCAGGTTGGTCTTGTTTTGGTCGCTTGTAGCTCTCTATGGGCTTTCCTTCCTGATACTTCTTATCTCTGTTAACCATTTCAAGCAGCTATAATTTCAGCAACAAATATTACCATATCAAGATTCCCACGAGGCTTCTTCTTAATTTTTGGTTGGCTTTGCTCCTTCGATTCATTTTGAGTGACTTCAAGAGGCTTCTGATCCAACAGATTTACAACAGCTGGCTTCGGTTGAGTCTTTTGTGCTTGAAACAAATTCAAATTGAAAGAAATCTGCGGAGCAGCAGGAGCTTGTCCTGGCAAAACAGTAGAAGCATTTTTCTCTTTCTCCTCTTCCAAATCCTTCTGTTGGTCCTTAACTTCCCGTTTCTTGCTTCTTTCAAGCTCCTTTTGAGCCATTTCCTATAGCTTAACCCCGATTTCTTACACCTAAATTTTTGAGTCGTCTTTCTTCACGGTCGGCCTCTCTTTGTCTCTTCTTAATCTTCTTATCATACTCAGATTCTCGCTTGACTTCTCTGGCGTTCTTATCAAGGTACTTAATAACAGGCTTGGACTCGCTCCATTCGACTTCACAGATATTGGCCTTTTCCAAATATTTGACGAAATCTCCGAGGGAGGACCACTTAGTCGAGTTCATATGCACATGGTACTGGTCTTTAATAAGTTCCTGATAGACTGTATTTGCCATTACAGCTGTTTTAGGATGCCTGGTCTTGAGAACCTCCAAGAATCCGGATTCAAACTCTTTAGAGAAAGTATCCAGCAACTTCTCAGGGTTAGTCATGTATGTACCCATCATCTTCTTATGTGAGTCTGATCGTAAGTGGCATTTATACCCATTGTCGTCCTTTAGCTGCTTCTGACAGAGGGAGCAGAAAAATTTTAGTTTGTAGAGTCTTCCACTACTCATTTTATTATAAAATTTCAACTTTCCTTCCAATTTATGGGGTTTTGGGGTTTTGGGGTTTTGGGG